GAAATCACATCAGTGGAATGAATTCGTGATCAAAACTGCTTCTTGATTTGACCAAGGGGCTATCCAAGTTTTAACTGTTAACTTTATTTAATAAAAAACCTTTGCGTGAATGGAGGGTTGTGCATGAACAAAGCTTCACACTTTGTATTAAAAATTAAATTCTGTCAATTTTATATTCAAAATGTGACTAACTCATGAATCACTTATGCCAGTCTCTAATTCAATCACAGGCCAAGCAATAGCCGGCTATCATCAGTAAAAATAGCGGAATGCCCTGTAGTATGTAGTATTTCCCTCCCAGCGTGGCCATCCTCTTTTGATCTTCTCGTAGTATTGAAATGGCAAGAAGTAATTTAGGTCTTATTCATATCTTGTGTATTTCTATTACTACGATATGATTTTAGTGTAAAAGGTAAAAAGTTTAAATACAGATTTTTCAACTGGTTTGACCAAGGGTGTATCCGGTCAATGAAAAAAATGTTGGTTAATCTTGGTTAATCTTGGTTAAAAGACTAAAGTTGTTAAGAAAAAGATAAGATAAGAAAATAAAGTGTCCGGTATTAATTTGGTTAATTTGATTATCATGCGCATTGAAAAATTACAAAATTGAATCAAATCAGCTGACGATATTTCAATCTAATTAAAAAATAAATTTTAAAATCAATGGATGGCATTAAAGCTAATCTGAGTTAATTTTGATCAGATGTCAGTTAATTTTTTTAACCGAGATTAACCAAGAATCTCGGTTAATCTTGGTTAAAATTTCACTGACCGGATACACCCCAAAAGCAAATGAATGATACGCTGAAATGAATGATTGACATTAATGTCGTTCAGTTTTAAAAAAGAATTCTTTAATTTCATTTTTTCGAGATTCTACGAAATTCAAGAGCAAAAAGGGGAACAATAGAAAAGGTAATTTTTGACAAAACCAAGATGCGAAAACAAATGATGGTGATTATTGTTATTGGATTGCAAAATGTAATACAAGCCAATAGAGGAGCAAAAACAAACGGAATATCAAATGACACATGAAACTGGCATAAGGTGAATCAAAGAAGAAAAAGTAGGATTGAATGTAATAAGGTAAAAGAAGAAAAGATTATTCTAATAAGCAGACCAAACTGATTTGCCTTTTTGTTTCCTTCTCATCCTTTTACTGATCAGTCCATTGGTCACATTGAAAAAAAGGTAATGGTTAGCATTATCTTCATGTTTTCCTTTTTGCTGAGGCAATGAGGAAAAAAAGGTGAACAAAAATGGAAAGAAAAAAAAGATAGAATTATTGAGCCTGAATGAAAACATGAGAAAAGAAAAGAATGACCAGAAAGATTTTTTTCTGCTCTTCTCACTTTTCCATGTTGTCCCAGTGAGTTTGACTTGATTCTGTCCATCGATGTGCCGGTCAGCATGATTGAGTTGATGGTTGAAGGAGACAAAACTGGTGAAAGAAGAAGATGAAGACAAGATGAAAAATGTTGCAGGTAAAGCAGTGAAGTAAAAGAAGATGAGGAAAGGAGGAAAAAAATCATCAATTGGAAGAGAATCGACAAACAATCAAGCTAAATTGGCTTAGATAAACGATCGAATAGCCTTTGCATGATTCTCTTCAGCTTTTCTCCTTTTTCTATTGATTCCTTATAGAATGACATTTTTTTCATTCTCATGCTTTTTACATTCCCTTTATCCTATCATCATCATCATTGTTGACGTTGTTGCAATCTTTTTACTTTTCTCTCTACCTCTTGTTATTCACATCTTGATTCACTCCCTTTACCAGTCACAGGTATTATCTTGGATCAGGTTGAGCTTACATCGATTGAATTTAATGTAAATACGTTTGAATCAGTGATCAATCTAATCTTTGATTGCCCTGTGAGTGGTTTATCATTACCATTGAAAGACAAATCGATGAATTGACAATGATGAAGATGGAAAAGGCAAAACAGAATAAACAAGCAACAACAGAAAATTTAGATTTTTTCGTGTTTTCTCTAAATTCCAACATTATGGTAAACATGGCAGCTTCTCAGGTAAATGATGAAGCCTAACTTTCAATTCATTTCTTTTCGTCGCAATTGGTAATCTGGTGAAACTGGATTATCATGAGAAAACAAATTTTCCAAACTAACCTGAAAAGGGTTGACGAAGAGAAGAAAAAAAGTTTTTTTTCCTTTTCATGAGATTAAATTTCCATCAATTGGTTAGCAATTATCAGATGAAATTGTTCATTTTTCTCCATGTTTTATTCAACATGGAATTTTTTTCTTTTTTTTGCGTCGAAGAAGAAAAAAAACTTCTGGAAAAGAGAAAAAAATTGCACTCATATTCTATTCATCTTAATTTTTTGGCAACATTTTCTACATTCTGTTTCAATATTTACATGAATTTATCAAATGATGGATAAATGCGTTTCCTTGGATAACATGGTTTCATTCAACCCATTCAATTCAAATTCAATCGGAAATTACTTGATACTTGACTGATTGATTTGAATGCCTTCCAGGTGTTTCTCATGTTATTACATTTTTCAATGTTTTTCCCATTTTCGTTGTTTTTTTTCATTCTTTTATTCCTTATTCAAATAAAACTCTCTTTCACTTTGCAGAAAAACATTCATCTCTAATTTTCATGATAAGTTGAAATGAAACAAAGAGAGAAATGAGAAAATATTAAATTTGCCGATTTTCCTCCAAACAGACTTTTCCTTTAGGACATTAAATATTACCATTTCATGGGAAAAATTGACATTCTTATTAATACTTAATCAGTTTATTCATCTTCTTTAATCTTGTTTCGATTCTTCAGCTTTCTAATTTCCAAGAATCTTCCAATGAAATATTTAAACATCATGAAAGAAGTTTAAACTTAGAAACTCGAACTTTGAAAAATTTCTTTGAAAAACATTTTCCAAAAGTTTACTTTACTCGACATGAATGAAAAAGTTTTGAATGAAAAAGTTTTGAATGAAAAGAGTAAATAAATTTTCTTAAACTTATTCATGGAGCTTTGACCAAGAAAATGAAACTTTTGATTTACCTTTTCAATTAAAAGTAAACAGAAATTGAATGAAGATCCATTGAAAAGTTGAATTGAAGAAAGAAAAAGTTAAGAACTATTTACTCAAACGAATGGTAAAGTTGAAGAAAAATGATATTCAATTAAAAGTTAATCTTGTTCATTAAAAGTATCTGAATAAAGGTTGCCAAGAGAAGGAAAAAATAGTAAATCAAATGTTAATGGTAAAGGCAACAAAAAAAGGGTTAATTTTGATAATAATGACGAGAAAACATTTTCTTCATTTACCAACATTATTCGTAACCTTTTAACTTTATTAGACTCTTGCTCAATCCCTTGCTTTTGCGGGAAAACAAAATTCGCTCCCAATTTTCATTATTATGTTTCCATCATTTTTTAAACGTTAAAATTGTTTTTTTTCAAAGTTGAAAGAAAAGAGGCAAAAAAAGTTGATGATGATGATGTATAATAAATCAAAGAGTGCAAACACACCAATTGAAGAGTGGAAGGTAAAGAGAGCAGAATAAGATGCAATTATAAAAAAGTATTATTACGCATAAATGTACGATTTTGCAGAATCTTTCCATTCTTTTCTGCCTTGCTCCCTGTGCCTTGGTTTTGATGTATTCATGAATGAAGAGTAAAAGAATGAGAAAAAAAGATGAAATGATATAAATAATTTTATGCTGAGAGAATCTTTTCCAAGTAAAAACATGATGAAATGGAAAATGGTTTTGCCAAGGAAAAGAGCAAAATGAATAGTAAATGGATCAAGCTAAATCTGTCGGCCTTTCATGATTAACATGGAATTGAAATCTTTCTGAAGATTTGCAGTCAAAGTGTGCTCCTTGTTTTCAGTGTCAACCTTGTTCATCGTTGTTTTGGGTTGGCAACCTGATTAGTCTTTGGCTTTGTTTTGTCGCATTTGATGAGATCTAGAGTTTATCAGCAGAATTGTATTTTTGAATGTTAAACTTAAGGTGAGATTATTTTGCATTCAAAATCAGAGGTTTGTTTACAATGTTCATTTGTTTGTTTTCTTATGCGGTAAAAGGGAATGATGATGATGAATGCATTTAAAGAGTAGAGATGATGTTTTTAGATGCAAATGAATTATTTCAAGTTTGCTACTTGAAGAGAATGAAAATGAAGAGAAATAATTTTCATTTTTTTGTTATTTTTTGAACACTTTGTATCATTAGAGTTTGGAGATATTATTGAGGCAAAGTTTTTCGCTTCCCTGTTTTTTGGTTTAAACTTTTTTTTCTCACACCATTAATGCCATCATCATTATCAACTTTTCAGCTACAATGAAATTTACAGCTAATCTTGGCTGCAAGTTAATGTTAGTCTTTTGCCTCATTCTTACTGTTTATTATTTATTATGTTGCTAAGTTTATGTGTTAACTAGGATTGTAATGTTTGTTAATGAAGATGGTAATGATGATGATTATTGTTTTTTCAAATTGAAGGTAAGGAAAATTTGAAAATGATAGGCACTTACTCAAATGTTTAACCGATAAATGAGTGGTATTTTTGTTCATCTGGATTGATAAAAAAATGATTTATTTTCACTTATTCTAGGCAAAAAATATTGGAGTGAGTAAAGAAAAAGTTATACAGATAATAAATGTGAAACTCGAAACAAAAAAGTTTACAGAACAATGAATTTCTGTTTTTCATGTTTTGAGAAAAAATTTCTCAGATATGAAGTACGACTACAATCCATAAGATATAGACCTCTTGCTTTGGATTTTAAGGCCAAGAATTTCAAATACTCTGTTCAAGTCTGCCTCCGAAAATCTGATTGCGACCATAGACGAGAAAGCTATGAAATGAATAATGCTTCGATTGAGCTGATAGATGAAAGTGTAAATCTCAATAGAAGAGGCTCTCATTTTTTCACAAATATTCTTGCTTGTTGATATCAATGATAATTCATTTGATTAATTTTTGTAATAATTTTTCTCTTTCCATTGCAGATTCATTGCCTCTCTAAGTAAAATCGTACACTTACAGCAAAAGTCTGTTAATTGCTATCAACACATCTTTAGTGATCATCACCATCAAGATACAAAACCACAAAGGATTAATTGTCATTTATCAGCCAAAGAAGACAACAATCAACAAGCTCATTAAAGTGAGTTGACTATGAAATTGTAACAACGAAAAAGAAAAACTGATTTTATGAAGCAGATTAACTGAGATCATTGGAATTAAAAGAATAATTAAAACAAAAGTTTGCAGTAATCTTCAGAATTAATTTCCACCATCAGTCTTGAAACTTTAATCAACTTTTAATGTCTTTTATCAATTAGTCGAATAATCATTTACAAGATTGTGGGACTGAGACTCTGATCAGATAATTGATTTCGTCGTTTTCATGTTCAATTCTTGTTTATGGTACGATTTCCCCTATTCTTCAAGTTAACTTTTTTCTTTGCCCGAATCAATCTTGAATTACGAAATTGAAATATTGTAATACAAGAACCAGAATAAAAAAGCAAAGACAATCTTGAATCAATTGAGATAATGACAAATTCAAATGTCTAGACATGAGATTCACTCGAGTCAACAATGAATCCCGTTGATAATAGCATTAACATTTTGTTGTGTAAAGTGTTTCATTGAGAGTGGGAAATGAAGAAGACAATAAACAATCAACAGAAAACAGAACGAAATCGAAAAAAAGAAAATTTTAATTTCGATTCTGTTTACTCCAATAGTCGAAGGTTGTTCAGATAATAATGAGATTAAAAGCTGAGACAAAAGTCAGGAAAAAATTTTCAATAAAATATTTGAATTGAATTCACCGTCGATTGCAACTGAAAGTCAAGACTCGAGTAAGTCATTCATCATCAACAGAACACACACAAAGTTCCAACATTTTGTTCAAAATTTTATTCTCATTCTCACACCTTTTACCAACTTTGAGACTTTTCGCCTTTTCTTTCATTAATTTATTCCAATGATTGATGATTGTCTTTGAATAAGGTAAAGGTAAAGAAGGAAAAATAGCCTCAAATTCATGTTCTTCTCATGATCGTTTTTTATCCTCATTACGATCATCATTTTAGATTCTCATATCATCATCATGATACTATCTTTAACATGTTCACACAAAACTCTATCATGTTTATCATTATTGAGTTTCACTCATGTTTAACTTTACACCTAAAAAAGGAAAGTAAAAAATGCAGAAAAATTCAAAATCATACCTTAACACGGAAAATGTTGATTATAATATTATCAGCTGAACATCATTTTCCCTTCCATTTAATATTAAATATTTATACAATTTATCAATAAACTGATGATAAATTTTCACTATTTGCTATTGAACTGACAAAACCAAGACACATGATGAGCTTTTACCACATTTTAATAGGTATTGACTCGACATGAACTGATTAATGGAAAGTCTCTCAATTAGTACAGTTCAATAATCGTCGATCCGTTTCCAAATTTATGATTAGATTCGAGCTCAAGACTCGTTTTTTCCATCAATATGATGCTGTTTAGTTGCAGTCGAAGCAACTTGAAGAATTGAATTTTATCAATTGCTTTTTGTTTTGTTGAAATTCAAAATTCAAATGAAAATCTTTATTCATCATTTTTGCTCTTCTCATGAGACTTCGTTTCACCAACAATTGAAAAGACATGGAAAAGTTGCGGAAAAGGTTGAATAAAAAGAAATGGAATCGATCAAAATTGGAATCTCGATTTTTTTTCTTCTTTTCCTTTCTGTGTTTTTTGAGTGCCTTTGAACCAACAAAGAATTGAAACTTTCAAGACTCAAGTAACCTTTGCAAAAAGGTTGATGAATATGTGAAAATGAAAAGTTGAAGGTAAGTTCATTGAAGTAAGTTTGAAGGAAAAATGAAATGGAATAGTTTACAATGTAATTTATTTAATGAATACTCGAGAGAATTAATAAGAAGGTTGAAATGAAAGAAGCGAAAAATTCATCTACAATTCAATGTTGTTGTTTAGATTTGAGCGAAAAAAGGTGTTTCATGGGACAGTCTTGAGTAAATTTATTTTGCTTATTTGAAGTATTGAATAAAGAAAAGGATTGAAAAGTTTTCCAATTTACTGGTCAACTTTGAGACTTTTTTTCTTCTCTGTCCATCCAGACTTTAAGTCCAGCTATTTTTGAATGCAAAAATAATCTAAAGAAAAAAAAGGAAAATGTCTTTTTACTCAATTAGTTTAATTTGCAAATCAATTTCCAACATTTTCCCACTGAAATTGAATTAAATGAAACTCTTTACCTAACTTATTATCCAGACTCTTTCATACTCAATCAATATTTCAAATAATTCCAGGTTTGCTCATTCAGAGTGAGAGTAAATTTACATTTCCAAGATTAATCTTGTCATGAAATCTATCCAATTATATTCAATATCATTTCAAATATAAGTTGATATTGAATATAATTCATTTATCAGTTATAACTTCAAGACAGTTACAAGTCTTTACTGCAGAAAAGGATAAACTTTCTGAATAGTTCTTCACACTGATTATAATCAGATTCACTGTCAATCCAAACTGATGGTTAAAGAAACGCTTTTTGGATCATTTTCTTGTTCATTCTTCGAATTCATTTCATGCACGTCTGACTGATGTGTAGAATCGATCGCATGCTTCAGATTCGAACTCGACTTTTCTCGAGAAATTCAATAATGAAAAGCAACAGTTGAATCGATTTCAACGTAAAATTTACTTTAACCTGAGTTTATCAGTTGAAATGAAAAGATTGGTGCCGCTTCAACTCAAAAAATCGAACAAAAAAAATGTTCTAATCTGGCGAATCGAGATGGCAAATTCGAAGAAGCGAAATGTGCGAATGCTTTATAAAGTCACCTTTTTGAGAAATTTCCAAGCAAAATGTTCTCATTGAGTATCAAACCTAAAGTAACATTCAATGAATAGAATGGAAAAAGCTGCGATAAGAAAATTTTTTATTTACTTGGAGTTTTTTTCATAACATCTTACTTTTTTCCCTCTCAAGACTATTTTCACTTTATCATCATCATCATCCTTTGATCGTTTCTTTTTCTGCTTACGTTCAACATTTGTTGAAAAAGAAGACCATTCCGATTCTCTGATTCATTGGGAGAGAAAAAGGTTTTCAACTAAAGAAACTTTATCCAAACCTTGTTTATCTCTTCATTTTCATTTCTATTTATACTTTTCTTTACAGACAATCATGTTTCCTTATTCTTCCATTTGCCCACCTTCATCATCATTATCATCCCATTCATTCATCTTTACATTTCTCCACTTTTTTATTCACCTTTTTCTTCAGTTTTCATAGTTTTCTTTTGAAAACATTTCGTTTACTTTCATCACCTTCAATGAAAATTGCTTTACTATTTATTGTTATTGTCACAGTTTTGCCACTTTCGTTGAGCAATGGACGTCTTCAACCAAATCTAAGAAAAATATTTCATTTTCTCACCAAAAATACTTCGCATGGTAAAATCTCAAAATCTTTGTTTTTCAACATTCGACTTTCATCCAAATTCGTTCGAATCGTTTTAAAAATTACTGTCCAAAGAATTTTTCGTCAGCAAAAAGTTCTACAATCTTTCATTTCAATCTTCTTTTCATATCAGCTTTTATCGATAGAAAAACTTTTCGTTGATAAATTGCTTCGATAGACAGTCGAGACACAACAATTAATAACTTTTAACCAAATGATACTTGAATTGAAACTAAACAAAGACTGGAGACAGAAAAATATCAATCTAAATAATGAAGTCTCAACTAATTCTTGTAATACAGTGAAAGAAGAAAAGAAATGAAAATTAAATTGTTTCAATTTATCAACTTTGTTACCACTTTCATGTAACATGAGAACAATAATTTTGCTTTTTTCATGAAATATAAATGAATGATTACTTGATAACATTTGAACATTTTTTTCCTCTCTTTTCCTTTCATTTTTTCGCTTCTTTTTCTCTTGCTGTTCAAATGACAACTTGATATGGAACTTGTGAATATAAAAGAAGAGAAGCGAAGAAAAAAAGCGACGAAAAAAAAGTTCTGAAAGGGAAAGACAAAAGAGTGACTCTAAACAGACGATATTGTTTTCACATTCACATAATCTTCTCAAGCATTTGATATTAAGCTTTTTAGCATACAACCTATTATTTGGCAACACAAAATGTTAACAATTGCACAAACATTTCTTCATTAATCTTCACTATTTAAAGTACTATTAAAGTGTATACACTTTGATTAATACATTTCAATTGTCAACATTTTTCAAGCCATTTTATCATCTTTATTGCATCTTGAAAAGTTTCATTGGCTTCCCTGAGCATCCAAAGAAGCAAAAGAAGAGGAACAAAAAAGAAACTTTTTTCTCTCACTTTTCTTTCGTCAAAATATTTATCTTTATGTCTTTTTTTCTTTGTTATTATCGTTATTAATTCTTGTATATTTACAGCGATAATGCTGCATAAATTATCTGAATTAGTGAATAATGAGAAACTCTGACAGGATTGATGAATGGGAATTTGAAGGGAAGGGATAAAAAAGGCTGGGAAAAGAGTTGAATCTGAATCTTCTTTTTACCTTTTATTCTTTGTCAAATATTCTCATTAATTTGACGATAAAATTGTTTTTTATATCATCGCTTGTCTAACATCACATTAAATGTATCAACTTTCTTTGTTTCAGATTAGCTTATATCATTCAAGAGTAAATATAATTGAATCTTGCCACTTTCAATCTGTTCAGTAATGAAACTGAATTTCTGCAAAAATCTTCTTTTCTCTTGGCACTCGTCATGTTGAAATGGATTTTGTTGTGTATTCATAACATCATGTTTGAAGCATGTAGGTGTAACTCAGATGATCAAATTCAGCAAACATGGAAAAGATTTTCTCAAATTCTGATCATTTCGACATTTTTGTCATTTGACGAATTCGAAAATTTATCAAAAATTTGTTTGTTGTCGAGTTTGGATTAGCGACTTTATATTAGATGCATATTGAATAGAGTTGGCTCATTAAGAATAAATGTTGTGTCAAAGTTTTAGCTTGAATTTAGTCTGGAAAATGAACGTTTCGAACTAAAATTAAACACTCGTCAGTTCATGTTAGACAATTTGTGTTCCTCAAGTGAAAA